CTTAAAAAGACATAATAACAGGAGTAATACAGTTTGCGGTCAATTATATATAAAAAGACTAAAACAACTCTCGACCAAAGTAACAACACTTCTAACACAGCAGTGAGCACTGTGAAATCAACCACCTCTTTTGCCTCACGTAAAAGACCTTTTTACCTCAAGCAGCGAGCACTGTGGGTACTCCATTTTTGCTGCATGGCCAGGCCTCTTGGCACCAAAGTGAAATATGGCAAACGACTCAATCCCAGCTGCGAGCCTCCTCTTCAGCGAGACCCTCTGCCTTTTAGTCCAGGGGTACCTGTTAGGCTTCTCCTCGCAGTTGCCGCACTCCGACCTACTATACAGGAACACGTCTGCTAGATTCACCGCCGCCACCATAACTCGTCTGACATAACTCAGAAAGCAGTCTTCAGATTCAAAGCCAACGATGACGAGTGTGGCCAAGCTGCGGTGTTGGAAACCAGCTGCGGCAGAGTCCCACTCTACACCCTTGTTCTCACTATATGATAGTTCTTTCCTCTTCTCCTCATCCGTTTCTGTTAAACACGCATGATCCCATACCTGCATGCCAGAAATTAGGACGAAGATAAAAAAATGAGTTATCGATAGAGCAGACGTATTTTGTATCTGGTGAGAAAATCTTGCAAAACCTAACATTAAGCCTAAGCACGTACATGTATAGCTCCTTCAGTAAGGGTGCAGCTTCAAGAATAAACATTGTCCAGGTGAGATCACACCCTTCAGGAAGACTAGCTAGATTCACAAACCTTAGCTGGCAGAAGACAGATGCCAGGGATTGCGTCGGACATTCTGGCTGCAAGGATGGCAATGGGTCGGGTTTGGATCAGGTTGAACAATCTCAAATCCATATCCATGTCCATGAAGACAGTCTTTGCCCGCCCATGAAAAAATCCATGGGTGAAAAATTGTGTCCATGTCCAAATCCGATGGATATCCAAAGCCATTGGGTATCCATTGAGTCCTCTCGAGACATATAAATAAGACATAACAGAATATTAACATAAACTCTTGCATTCTTCACCTCGTGGTAGGCTAGGCTTCACTTATGGTAAATCAACATCCACTAACAACCTAAGATCATTTAGTATTTTTCTAACAGATGAGAATGACGAGTCATTTAAGGAGGAGGTAAAAATAAGGGAAGGGGTGTTGGATTATGTTACAGAGAGGATTGAATGTCAACTAAAAAAGTTACGACGGGGATTGTGTAATTTCTTATGCATGCTTTAGATTAAAAAAGTGTAAAATTGTTGTGGGACATATGACCGTGGGGCAAGGATAGCAGATTTCCCCCCATTAAGTCATACTATCGGATCGGGTTTGGGTATATCCATGGGTACAAGATTATATCCATGCCCTATCCACGAACAATCGGGTCGGGTTTGGGCGCCGCCCATGGACACAAAAGCATATCCAAACCCTATCCATTCGGGTCGGATATCCATGGATATCCATGTCCATGGATAAAATTGCCATCCTTAGGCTGCACCCAAATCTGCAACGAATAAGCATATGGTGAGATGGGTAGAGAAGAAGCGAAGCCACAACTCGCAAAGCTACAATCTTGACTTACCTTTCCGGAATTAAATTCCAACTTCAGATCTCATATAGAGGTACCACTAAGAAACTCACTTAACTCAACCATCCTGCTGTAACTAAGGGCGAGATTTGTGAGGCTTACAGCCTCCAGCAATGGGACATGACCGATAAACAGTGGATCTTGGAACTGCAGCCAACCTTCAAAGACCATCTTTGTGAGTTGAGGGAAGCCAGTTCAACTGAACTTGTGCGAGCCTACAGTGGACAATACTAAGCTCACTGAGATGAGCATGTTCAAGTTGCAGCGTGCTGCAATCACCAGAGTCACAATGGTACAAACGCAAATGCTTCAACCACTTGCAAGTGATGAGGACGTTGGATATGTCCGATTCACCAAATCTCAAATTCTCTAAATCGAGGGTAGTGAGACCACCAAATGCACTTGGGCAGGCATCAAAGAACAACATGAATTTTCTCCCGGCTGTGACCAGATCATCCTCGTCCAAGTCAATGATGTCATACTTCCCTGTCATAACACTGAATTTCGTATTCTCGACCAGGTGTGCCGCCATGGCACGACCAACAGCACGCCCAGTGGATATGGGGACATCATCTCTCAAGTAGAACGTCGTGGACAGAAGGCGGATGGTGTGTTCTCCAGGATTTCTGTGGGTCAATATGCTCTCCATCGCTTGGACCACAGCGGCATTGATGCGAACTAGTTCATCATCAGAGATGTCGGTGCATAACACGCCCTTGGGCAGGAAGTGCTGAGCGCTTATTATAAGTCGAGGCAGCTTGGCACAGAGCTGAGTCCACCGTCTGGAGAGGACGCTGGTTCTTGCAGCCTCGCGGAGATTGAGCCGGTCAAGAATGTTGATCAGAATGTCATCAGGCAATGCGCTGAGCCTATCAGCTCTCTTGCCTTTCTGCATTTGGCATAAAGACAAATAAAAGTTGATTTCACACTAGCTAGTTGCAAAAAAAAAAAAAATCATATTCTCATATATGCAACTTCTATGCAATAGCAAACATGTAACTTGAATGCATCATGACATGACATATTTTTTGTCATCACAACAAAGTTGCAATTATAAATGATGCAGTATTGATTCAGTCACGAAGATGCAGTTTTTACAGTCAAACGACCATATGCATTCTTGATGTAGATGTGCAGATTTTCAACCCTGATTAGATCTAGGGAAAAGGGTTCTCTCTGAAAACAAAAGATCCGCCAAGGAAAAGAGGACTATGAACTCACCGCCATGGCTCCTGCGTAGATCTGCTGAGGCCCGAGAGGAATTGGTCGCCGTGAGTTTGGCAGCTGGAGCAGGCTCACGAGTTGCCGTAAATTAGCACCACCATATGATGATGACTTGACGCAGAGGGATGGTGGTGCAGCAGCGGCAGTGCACAACGCATGTACCTGCTGAGATCGAGGAAAAGTGGTGGCGGCGACACATAAGTGATGTTGATGATGGTGCTACTCGAGCACCTGGTCTTGAGTTCCGGGGTGAAAGCCTAGGACTGACACATGTTGCTAGACCTGGCAATGACGACATTGTATGTCGTTACCTTGTTGAAGACATTGCTCGGATATGCTCAGACCGGTTCTTCAGGGTGAAAATCTAGATTCTGGCCATGGGTGGTTAGATCCAGCGACGGCGATACTTGAGGCGTCGCTCCCTTCCTGAAGGCGTTGCTGTTGAAGAACCCCGTCCGTGTGGTGTCATGAGATGATTGGTGCGGATATGGTCATTGTTGTAGTTTGTCGATCGCGTGTCTGTTACTTTGGAATTTTTTTTTATCACCTACGTTTAGCTTTGGTCTTACATGACTTTGCTATTTGTCGGCATGTTTTGTGTGTGTGAGTTAGTGTTGGCTGTGTGCATCCTAACTAACACATAGAAGCCGGGTGTGTACTCATTATGTTTGTATTCTCTTGATGCTCCATTTTGAGTCAATAAAATCCACCCTTTATCGTGTATATATAGAGGCCGGAAGCAATTTGTTAAAATCCTGCTTATTAGTCTGAATGATTACGACTGGATGGACAAGGTTATGGCTCACGTCTTTGGTAAATGCTCCAGTGTTGAAATAATTTCTTAGATGTAAAATGATCATTCTAATGCAGAAGTACACTCAGCAAATTAGTTTGCATTTTATATAATAATGTTGATCCTGACCCTGCACAAGACCAGCCACTGCATGAACCCCTCGAGCCACCAGTTCCTCTAGCTGCAATGGCACCACCATCCATTGTCCATCAAATGGCCTCCATCCCTACATAATCTTCGGTAAAGGTGGTTCCTCCATGGCTTTGCTTTTCGATGGCAGCAGAGACAAAAACATTGGCAGTTCTATCGTGGTCGATGTAATGATGTGCAGAAAGAAGAACCATGAAGAGTGTATGTAGGTTGGTCTGCGGTAGTACTTTCATGAGCGCTATGACGTGCTCATACTTGGTCATGTAATCCGCACCCACCTCATGCGACGACCGCCGGATCCTGAGCGGCTCAGTCAGTTCCAAAAGCACAAAGCTGATTGTTTTCCTTGGCGCGGACATAGGTGGGCAGCACTAGAAGTAGAAGGGCAGGAGCACGTACGGCCGAAGGTCTATCTTGCCGCACATGAGTACACCCACCTTGGTGGGCCGAGCCTGCCAATGTGTTTGTCTACCATGCGCAAGACATTTCATATTGTCCTTGTGCTCCAAGTTACTCCCTCTGTAAAAAAATATAAGAACATTTATATTTTTCTTTACGGAGAAAGTATAACACATGCTTTGGAATGATGCAAAGTTCCGGTAAGAAATATTTGCAAAAAAAAAAAAAAGATGACAACGACGCCGACGATCTCCACAGGTACGCTTTCTATTTCACGCAGAGGGAGCACAGGAATTCATACTTGCCGCTAGATTACCGAGGAGAAAATTGCTATTGCGGGCCTCGCCGGTAAACACACTTACGCACAAGTCACAATATGCAAGAGCCACCCTATTTCTAACCTTTAATGGGCAAAATGAAACCTTGTCCTTTAAAATCCTAATTACTGAACGTGCTTTTTTGTAAGTCAATGTATTTACAATTTTACATGCATCTAAAATTGTGTATTTCAGGTACAAGGAGAGGTTGCCTACACCAAAAAATCTCAGGACCATAATGCTAGATGTGCGACCTGACACACAATGTGTAGATATTGTTGGTGTTATTGAGCGGATATTGGACACAGATTACAGCTCCAGCTTCTGCCGTGCTGTGCATGGTGGGCTGTCCAAATCAACAAATTCTAGCCACAACTTGAGAATTGAAAAAGTATGCATGACAAGACCAAGACGTGGCTTGTAGACCATAACTAATCATGTACTGCGGTTGTGGTGGAACCGAAATAGAGATAAGCTGCTCTGTCCATTCTCCTTTCCATCTGCCATTCCGACCAATATGGCTAAGCTTGCGCTCCTCATCCGAGGAACTGCGCTGCTGCTCTGCCTATTGGTCTTCCAAGCAGCATCCACTTCCGATGGCCAAGCGAGTGTATCAAGAGCCTGCATCGGCAGCGAGCGAGATGCGCTTCTGTCCTTCAAGGCAAGCCTCCTGGACCCTGCTGGCCATCTCTCGTCATGGCAGGGTGAGGATTGTTGCCAATGGAAGGGAGTCCGGTGCAGCAACAGAACGGGCCATCTCATCAAGCTCAACCTCCGCAACATCGACATGGAAGACTACATGGGCTACTCCATGTACGACTACATGGGCTACTACAGCGACTACAGCTACCCAAACAGGGGCAGATCATTGAGCTTGTCGGCGGGCGAGATGAGCTCTTCTTTGGCTACTTTACAACACCTGAGGTACCTTGATCTGAGCTGGAATAACTTCAACGGCACAAGCATCCCTATCTACTTGTCTTCTCTCAAGAGCCTAAGGTATCTCAACCTCTCAAGAGCAGGATTCAGTGGGAGAATACCTTCTCAACTTGGCAATCTCTCAAAATTGCAATATCTTGATCTCAGTTGGAATTATGATTATTATGGGAATAAGTCTTACATATTAGATCTTGCATGGTTGCCACGTCTCTCTTTGTTGAGACATCTTGACATGAGTTATGTGGATCTTGGTTCTGCGAGGGATTGGTTTCAGAGAGTTAATATGCTTCCTTTTCTTAAAGTGCTTCGCATGTCCGACTGTGGACTCAATGGTACCGTGTCTGCTAGTATATCAATTTCCAACCTCACACATCTCGAGGTCCTTGATGTGTCCTATAACACCTTCAGAATACCTTCCCAATTTGGAAATCTCTCAAAGCTGCAATATCTTGATGTCAGTGGGAATTATTATCCTGATGTGGCTCTTGCATGGTTGCCACGTCTCTCTTTGTTGAGACATCTTGATATGAGTAATGTGGATCTTGGTTCTGCGAGGGATTGGTTTCAGAGAGTTAATATGCTTCCTTCTCTTAAAGTGCTTCGCTTGTCCGTTTGTGGACTCAATGGTACCATGTCTGCTAGTACATCAATTTCCAACCTCACACATCTCGAAGTCCTTGATATGTCTGGTAACACCTTTCATACTTCACTCAAGCATGCGTGGTTTTGGAATCTCACAGGCCTTAAGGAGCTTCACCTCTCAGATTCCGGCTTGGAAGGGTCCATTCCTAGTGATTTGGCAAATATGGCGTCCCTTCAAGTCATAGACTTTAGTTGGAACAATCTTGTGGGTTTGATACCAAAGAAATTAGAAAATTTGTGCAATTTGGCAAGTATGAGGTTCAGTGGTAACAACATAGGTTTGAGCCTAGAGGAGTTCATGGAGCGATTGCCAAAGTGCTCATGGAATACACTACAAGAATTGACACTGGGGAGTGCAAGTATGACCGGGAATCTACCCATTTGGATTGGCAACATGACCAATCTTAGTATTCTTCAAGCAGATAGCAACATGTTGACTGGCCCTTTGCCTGTAGGAGTTGGAGCACTAGGTAATTTGAAAATATTGGACCTGAGCTACAATAAGTTCAGCGGTGTGATGTTGAAAGAACATTTTACAAGCTTAGGCAAATTAGAGTTTTTGTACCTCAACTCCAATAAGTTGAGCGGTGTGCTATTGAAAGAACATTTTGCAAGTTTAGGCAACTTAAAGCTTTTGGATCTCAGCTGCAATAACTTAAACAGTGTAAAAGATCAATTTGCAAGCTTAGGCAAATTAGAGTATTTGGACCTCAGCTACAATAACTTGAGCGGTGTGCTATTGAAAGAACATTTTGCAAGTTTAGGCAACTTAAAGGTTTTGGAGCTCAGCTACAATAGCTTCAACAGTGTGAAAGAACAATTTGCAAGCTTAGGCAAATTAGAGCGTTTGGACCTCAGCCACAATAGCTTGAGCGGTGTGCTATTGAAAGAACATTT